CAGCCTGACGTATGAATCACAGCCTAGTTGATCGGATATTCTTTGGAGGCATTTGTAGAGTTCTCTCGAACACTGTGAGAGGCCAGCCAGGTCAAGGAAATGTCACTTATCAATGAAATAGCAAACTGCGGCAAAGTTAAGAGTTTGAGAATAAGGAGGGAAAAATTACTGCGTATACGTTGCATTCCTCCCATGTTAGTGTTAATTGTTTCTTTGGCAATGAGGTACGTTCTGGAAGGACATCATACTTTGCAACATTAGAACATTAGGATCATCTTATGCTTTCAAATGCATTATTCATTTGTTTCCACTTTTTGAAGTGAGAGGATTAATGCATTAGCTCCCTCGCCTCTCATTAGTCTAACCGCCGAAGCTTCATTTATCTCTGAAATTCTATTCCCAATACTCTAAGTTCAATCATATCATCATTATCTCAGTACTGTAATAGTATTTCTTGGGTCATGAGAATAATCTTGGATTATCATGGCTTCATTTTGTACCTTCTCTAACTTGTTTAGTCTGCCATTGACAAAACAAGACATAACAGGGGCAGCATGATCAATAAGAGATTTCACTGTATGCCACATGATTACCAATGGAATGTGAAATGTAAAACATGATTAGCACTTTCGCCCGGGCATGACGCAGCATTGCGTCATCCGGTTACTGTTGGTAATGACGGGCATGACGCAGCATTGCGTCATCCGTTTACTGTCGGTAATGACGGGCATGACGCAGCATTGCGTCATCCACTATAAATAATCGCCAAAAATCAGGTTTTTATCCGATTTTTTGGGACTGGTTTTAAAATGCGCGCCGATGTCTTCCCATTTTCTTTGTTGCGCCTCGTGGGCCGCAGGCGGCACGGCACACGCCGTCAGCCCATTGTTTTCGCTCCACTGTTGTGACCGGTGTCGCCTCCCCTCGCGTCTCAAACGTGTGAACATTTCGGCTATTTTCCGTGGCTATATTTCTTACTGCGGCTTTAGAAACTATTTACGCTTACTCCACGATGGATAGTGATCACGAACAAGGCCCTTCCAGGAAGAAAATTGCGAAAGAAAGGCGTGAAAAGCAGAAGCTAAGTAGTGTACAGGAGAAGTACAAGCATGTGAGACTAACTCCCTCTAAGTTTCAGGCTGTATTTGACGATTTGTCTGGGTCATCTAGTGAGGAACTGATGTCAGTACCGATACTGATGCAAGTAGTGAACATTTAGAAACAGAGACGGCCGATGAGGATTTTGCTAGTGATGAAAGTGAGGAGTCTGAGGTCGAGACTGCCACTCGTGCACGGCGCGGTACTGGAGCTCGTGCCAGAGCCAGACGTACCACACGTACCACACGTACCCCAGTACCAACAGATTCTGATGATGGATGGTGTAGTGACAATACTGCACCCTTTGTGGACAATTTTACAGGTACACCAGGCTTGACTGTTCCTGTACCTACCACTGTTCTTGGTTTCATTCAACTCTTTCTGACTCAAAAATTGCTGAAATATATTGCTTATGAAACTAATTTGTATGCTTCCTAAAGTAAGGCACGTACTGGGAAAAGGACAAAGCACAGATGGCAACCAGTGACAGTGAAAGAAATTGCCAGATATTTGGGACTGACGATCTTGATGGGTATTTGCCCGTTGCCAAGACTTAGAATGTATTGGCAAACAGGCAGATTCTGGCACATACCTTGTTTCAACACCTTTATGACTGGTAAACGATTTGAAATGATTGCTAAATATTTTCATGTTTATAACAATAAGTCCATACCACAAGGCCAAGGAGTTGACAAACTTATCAAAGTTCGCTCACTCATGCAATATCTCCTAAATAGATTCAAGAGAATATACATTCCCAATAAAAATTTGAGTTTGGATGAAGGGACAATGCCATGGCGTGGCCGTCTATCTTTCAAGACCTATAATCCCAATAAACCAGATAAATACGGAATAAAGCTCTACATGCTAGCTGAAGCCACCAGTGGCTACATTTATGATTTTGAAATTTATTCAGGAGTTGGGAAAACGACGATTGACACAGTTATGGCCTTGATTGAACCACTGAAGGAAAAAGGTTACCATTTATATATGGACAATTATTACAATTCGGTCAGATTGAGTGAGACACTACTTCAAGTAGGGGTATACACCTGTGGTACCCTCAGACTGCAGCGTGGTGCACCTAAATCCCTTCAGATGCAAGCAAAGGGTAAAGTGCCAGTAGATAAAACTTTATTCAAATGCAAGGACAATACTTTCATAATTTTGTGGAAAGATAAACAAATTGTTTCACTCATAACAAATTGCCACAATGCAGAAACACAACAGGTTCAACGCAGAAAACGAGTACGGAATCGTGATGGAACAACCTCAGTGCAGCAGGTAACTGTCAACAAGCCGAATGCAATCTGTGACTACAATACAAACATGAAAGGTGTTGATCACTTTGACCAAATGATTAAATATTATCACTTCACAAGGAAAACTCACAAATGGACGAAGAAAATTACCTATTTTGTGCAAATGGCTATCTACAATGCTTTTGTGATGTACAACTACTACACAACAGATAGAATGAAACTGACATTACTCCATTTCCATGAACAAGTCATTGCTGCACTATTCTTCTATAAGTCTAGTAACTGGCCTGAGGAAGATGATGACATCCCACATGCTGCTGATGTCAATGCCACTGGAGCCAATGTTGCAACACCAGGACCATCAACACCCAGAGCTCCAACAGCAGGACCTTCAGGTGTGAGGCGCCCACTATTCACTTCACCTGTACCTGTAGACTTACCTTCATCGTCTGAGTCAGAAGACGAGGCTGTGATTATCACTAGTGGTGCTTCTGCTGCAACAAGACCCCGTACTGTGGATAATCCAGACCGCCTCAGCAGAAACTTGTCCCATACCCAAGTAAAGATACAGAAGCGTCTGAGGTGTCGTGTGTGCAAATTGTCGGGTAAAAGGAAGGACACACACTATAAGTGCAAGACGTGTGATGTGGCATTGTGTCCTGCACCATGTTACAGCAGATACCATCGAAAGAAAAAATTCTGGGCTGATAAGCAGTAATGCTTGCCCACCATCCACTCCACCTATACAAAACATGGGTTGACCCTGCAAGAAACGTTTTCCAGGAGCAGGTGGAGTGGATAAAACAAATGTTCAACCCACGTCATGTTCAACACACAACACTGAGGTGGTAAGTACAAAAATTTTTATTATTTTTTCGTTCATACTTTCCCGTATTGTACAGGCAATGTTATTCTTCAATTGGCCCTTATATGCACATATCCATCTAAAGAATTCTATTAGGAACATTTTCATACCTAAATGAGTGCTGTAACACAAAAATTGAGATTACCACCAGGTAATAATACTAAACATTTGTGGGCGGGAATTGGGAGTGTAGCTGCAAGGCGTCTGAGCGCTCACTCGCAGCTAACGCATGGCCCGTCTTCAACTCGTCAGCGGTTGGAGCGTGACCAGGTTTTTTATTTTATATGCTAATGTTCCTCTAGAGAATTCTATTGCGAACCCATTGAGACCAAAATGAAAGACCTAGGACGAAAATTGAGGTGACCAGAGTGAAAATAGTGAAAACATTTTATCGCGTTTGCGTGCTCCTGGGTAACTCGTTCGCACTTTCTCTGTTTGCTGCGGGTAATTAGCTGGGCTTTTGGAGTTTATATGCATTTAGTGCTGTAGAAAATTTTATTGCGAACACAATGATATCAAATTTAATCTCGTAGAATGAGAATTGAAGTGACAAAGTTGAAGAGAGTATACACTTTTCGGAATTAACGCCCGCTCCCGTGAAACGCTGGGACCCAAATCGTATAGTTGAGGGGTGGCGCGCGGGGTGCGCGAAAGTGTTAATAATTGTGTACTGAATTGGTTTGTGAGCCCCTTGAGGGACCTTATATAGGATGAGGGTAGAAATGGCGAGCTACCTGGGGAGTTTTATGCTTACTATTTTTTCCTGTCATATTCTGGTAACATTGTCATCAAACTCAATCAAGGTTGTCAGCCATGACTTTCACACTCTAAATCCATGCTGTCTACAAACTGTTACAAAGTTTATCCTCTAGATGTTCCACTATTCTCGACCTGATTACTCTAGTACTTTACAAGGAATACTTGTCAGTGACACTGGTCTGTAATTTAGTGCCTCCTGTCTATCCCCTATCTTGACCATAGTTCTAGAAGAATATCTTTTTTTTTAAGTGTTTTATTAAAAACCTGAGTGGGTGATACCTCTGCAGCTTCCTTCAGTAGCCATGGTGATATTAAGTCTGGCCCAATTGATTTTGTTGCATCTAGTTCCTTCAAGTGTTGTTTAACCTCTTCCACTGTGACTGTTAGGACATTCAGTGTTTCCTCTGACCTTTTGTCACTCACCTCTGGTCTCCACATTGGTTCCATTGTAAAAACCTCCTGAAATCTTTAGTTTACTTCCTCTCACACACCCCTTAATGTGAGTAATGATTAACCTGAAACGATTAATGACTAACTTGTAAAATTGCTGATATCTGCCCCTGTATAAAGTTAAAGAAAATTGTAGTCTGTGTTTATTTAGTTAAATTTACTATCTGCTGTTCTGTTGCAATTTCTGCTGTTCCATTCAACATGTAATTATTGTCATTCTTTTTTCTACTTCAATTCAATTTCATACTTTTGATCTCAGTTAGTTTTAAGTCTTAGTTTTAAGCTTTTTTTCTCACATCTTGCCCAAAATGCTGTGCATATTAGTGGTTTAGGTACAGTATATACTAGCTCTATCTAGAAATCCAACATTCTGCTTGTAACTCATTTTGTATGTACATACTTTAACTTAAATAATGATAATTTTAAATCCTAAAATGCTCGGGTTATTTGCTTAAGTGTTAATTTATTAGCTAATCCTCCAACTAATGAAATGTAGCCAATATTTAAAGATGTATGACTGCTGCCAATGCCAAGGTATTTTTGTTTACATTAAACTTGCAACTCACTTTTTGCTGGCCATCCCATCTCCTCTGCCTGCATCTGCTCATAAAGACCCGGATAGTCATCTGTAATATCTCGTGCCTCATCCGATAAATCCTCTTCATGTGTCCACTTGTCAAAATCAATCTTTAAAAAAAAAAGTTAATTAGTACCTCAAAACAAAATTGATCAGTTTCATAAAGCATGAATGTTACTTAGAGTAAAGAATTTTTATGTTCCTCTATTTAACTGTTAGAAATGCTAATTTTAAATACAAAAGTCAGATACGAGAGTAGATTCTGTGTACAACTAAAATGTTAAAATATTATCATACAGAAAAACCTGAGGGAAGAGAAACTACACAAATGAAAAAATACAGAATAAAATTTAGGAGAAGCATTTACTGATGCTACTGCCTAGCAGTTTTCCACGTCGTCTCGAGACACCTTTATGTAACTATTATTCTCTGAAATTTGTATAGTGTCCAGGGACCAGAGTCACAAAGCAGTTACACAAGTACTTTCGAACGTGGACATCTTTCCTCAATCTTTGACAGCTTTGGTTACATTTATTAAACAGTTTACAAGCATGAAAACATCCCAATCAACTGTTGTTATTGTTATAAATAGCCTCCTGGTACTTCAGAGCTCATTTACTGTTTAATAATTGTAAAGAAAGCTGCCAAAGATTGAGAAAAGATGTAGAGGTAAGTACGTAAGTACTTGTGTAACTGCTTCGTGAATCTGGCCCCAGTTCTCTGGTAACTTTACTTTGCATAAACACTCTGAAACCGTTTGTTTAGTGTTTCTCACATTTCCCTTACATTCTCTGTGAATCTGTTCCTCATTTTCAACCTCTGAATTTTATCTTTACCTGTAACTTGCTTTTAATGTATTTATAGTATGTACCTGACTGTTTTACAATTGCTCACTATTCCTTTCTCAAAATGCCTTTCTGCTGCTTTCTCACTGCAGTGCAATTGTTTCTTGCTCCTTTTTATAGCTTATATGTTAAGAGGGTTTGGTCTCTTCCCATATTGATTCCATTTTTTTTGTCTTTTGTTCTTTGACCCTCTTGCAATCCCTGTTGAACCAATCCTGTTTTCTTGTTCTGCATCTCAGTTTTGGCATAAATCTCCTTGCCTTCATCATATATCTTAAAAAAAAAACTTGGTATACATCTCATTTACTGCCATGCCTAACAACAAGTCTTTCCAATCAAATTCATTACTGAACTTGCTATGTTCTCCAGTGTACTCTCCTGAAATCAAGATTTTGAACTACTTTTTCCTCATTCTCATTCAGATTATAATACATTGCATTTTTATTTCCAAAAGGATATAGTGACTCTTACCTAAGCATCTTACATGATGCTGGATTTCCCTCATTCCCATGACCTTTTTAACATGATAGAACATGAATATCTCTAGAATGAGGTTTACAAATCTGGTAGTCAAAATGTCCTCCATTTTTGCTTCACATACCACCCTATCTATTGATTTCAAGTTGAAGTCACCAAGTACCAATAATCATGATTGATCTCCATTTGCAATTACTGCTATCTCTCTCATTATTATTATGAGGCCCTCTCGTGTGTCGCCCAGCTCCTCTTTTGTCCCTGTGCTGCTTGCTGGTAGACTGTAAAAATTTATAATTATAAATTTATCATCCCCATTATATATCTCCAGAGCTATTATGTCAACTTCTCGTGGGTTGTCAATTATTAACTCTCTCGCCTACAGGTGTTCTTTTAACAGAACAGCAACTCTAATTAGAAAAGACTCTTTTCTAATTTTTCTATCTTGTCTCCAAATTGAGTAACACCTTGGGAATACAAACTAATTTAAAATATCATCAAATTTCGTTTCTGTTAGTGCAACAATTTCTGCCATCTTAAGCTATCCATATGCCATATTTCTGCCATCTTAGATATTAAGCTATAATATTGTTTAACTGCAGTATTTTTTAATTCACTCCTCCTATGTTAGTAAATGTGATTTTTAGAAACATGTTTCCCCTTCCTTTTGACTTTTAATCCCCTTTGTTTTAATGATTAAGATGTCATGCTTTTGTGGTGGGCAAGGCCTTCACTGCCGACGACCTCCCCAAGTTCCACCTGGCTCTCCGCGCCACCTTTGAAGGGCGCGCTGGTGGCGATTGTTCCGTCCGGTTCCCAGGATGACTGTCTCATTCTATAGGCTTCTTGAGCCCTATCAAGTTACAGAAAAAACCTGCAATGAATGTAATGAAATGCTAATTTCTGGGCGAGCCCCGGTGGCTCCCTGAAGCTACTATACTGATATATATACTGCCAAACTACAAGGTTCCATCAGTCTCAGTTCTTATTGGCCTACCAGGGACCACGAGCCAGAACCTGGCCCCCCTCAGAGAGGTGCAGGGAGCTATAGCTATGAAAAATTTCATGTAAATTTATTCATGTCACCCAAAACCAGGGAAAGGGTACACAGAAAGTCAGAAACAAATTTAGAGCATTGCTTGGTTAGAAAACCAGATCGCAGCCTCAAAACACCCAAAAAAACTATACCAACAAAATAAACAAACAATCAAAAATGCATGAAACTAAAGTAACCTAGTTAGCCCCACCTTCCTATCTCATTTGTGGGAGGAGGGAGGCAGACCAGGTTAGCCAGTTGCTCCACCACCAGTACATATGATGGGAACCACCCTGATGCCCTGGGGGAGGGAGGGTGTCAAGGAGCCACCAGGGCTCACCCAGAAACTGTTGAACTCTTCTTCAGCACTGGGGCCTTTGTTCTTTTGGCCATGGTGGGCACTTTGTTTGGTTGTTGTCAGCTTCTCCTTTTTCTAGCAGGAAAAAACCAGCATTGAATGTAATGAAATGCCATTTTCTGGGTGAGCCCTGGAGGCTCCCTGGAGCTTATCGGGCTAATGTATGTTATATTAGACCGGGACATTAGCTAAGGAGTTCAGACCTACCAGAGACCAGTGCCAGAACCTGGCCCCTTCAGAGAGGTTTCAGAAAGCAATGGCCCTGGAAAACCCCCATTGGGTGGTTGGGGTTTTCCTTATCTGCCATCGACCGGGATTAGACACCCAGAAAGGTAGGCATAACAAAACAAACCCCACATGGTAAAAAACTAAAACAGAAAAGCGAACAGAGAGGTAGAAACTCCCTACAATCCCAAGGAAACAAGCAAACATCACACTTTACTGCTGTGCCGATTGTCCACGCAGCCCTCCCCACCCCGAGAGGGGGAGGGGGGAAGCCCCGGACCTCACCACGCCCACTGCTTAGCATCAGTTCGGAAGCTAAGCTTCAACCAATACGAAAAAAACGCCGACCGGTGGGAGGAAGGGTTGCCAGGGAGCCTCCGGGGCTCACCCAGAAAATGGCGTTTCATTACATTCAACACTGGTTTTATGTGTGGAGTCCCAACGGCTCCCTGGAGCTTCATACCCAAAGAGAAGGAAAAGAAAGGGCTGACCCTGGAGGCGGCCGCCACAAACTCCGCAATGCGAAACCGAGACAACAGGCTACAACCTGCGACCGAAGGCAACAAGAACGCACAGGAGCAGACACGCGCATGAAGAACGGACGGCCAGGAACCTGTGCGACCCTCAAATTCTCGCACCCGAAATGAGCCCTAGACGTCACCAACTCAGCAGCGACAGCTGCAAACGTCCGAACAGCACGGGCGCAAGGATAGGCCGCAGCCTGGAAGACTTAAAAACACTGCGGACGACTTGAGAGACCCAAGCCCTGAAACACGGAACGAGGGGAACCGGATCAACCCAAAGCGTATCCCCAGACACCGTATGCAGGTAACGGCAAAGAGGTGCAACCGGACAACACAGGACGCACCCCCGGCCGAACCAATCAAGTATCAATATCCCAAAGACCCCTCCGGAAAGCAGCAGTCTCGACCGTTGCCAGAAGGACGGAGAAAGGCTGCAAACATACAAACCTACCACCGGTACCAAAGAGCAGAAACCCCTGCACCGGAAGAGCTGGAAGCTCCCTGACCTGACCCACAGAGGACCATGCCAACAAAATATGGCCTATGAAAACTGAACTTGAACCGAAGGGGCTACCACAAACTGAGAAGATAAGAGGGCACCCTAATCAAGGACCAGGACGGCTCAGGCGACACATGAGCAGGCTGGAGGTGAAACAAAACACGAGAAAGCGTACAGAACAGGGCAGATGCGACGTCTACCCCGAATGCAAGCCGGAGCGGCTCCGCCAGCGCCGCACAAAACGAGGCGACAGAAAGAAACATCAAATAACTGTAGTCCTGAAAACCCAAGAGAGGGCATGACAACCCAATGCGAACGAGAAGACAACCTACGAAGAGCAAGAAAAAGGTGCATAGAAACACCAGGAACGTCATACTGTCACCAAGAAGAAGCTCGCAGGTGGGATACCATCAACAAAGCCACCTGATCACCATAGAGATGGTGATCCCCGTGTCAAAATAACAGACATGAAGAGCCGAGGAGAAGGTCAAACCAGTCACGTACAGGACCGGTCTGAAAGAGGCGGAGCCGCAGGAAAACGCCCCGGGTTCGGACATCTATCAAGCAGCGTCTGAAAATAAAGCTGGGCCGGCCCCCAAGGGACCATAAGGACTACTCTCCTTGGGAATGGACTCCAACCGAGCCAGAACTCGAAGCAACAGTTGAACCAGGAGAAGAGGAACAGGTACCCCCACTTCAACCAGTCCTGCCGAAAGGCATCCACCGTGAACGCCTTGCAGGCGGGTAAGGGCACCATATAGAATGGGCGACGCCTAGACCACGCCGACGCGAAGATGTCCATGGCCAGGAGTCCATACGTCTGGCAGAGCCAACGAAATGAGTCGGCGACAACTGGCCAATCCGGGGAACAGAGGAATGAACCAAGACAGGCTGTCCGTCAGAACGCAGAACACACCCCGGACATGAACCTCACGGCTAGCCAAACCCCGAGAAACTAGCAAACAAGCCACTCGAAGGGACCAACCCCAAAGGTCAAACACCTAGGAGAACCCCTGTGGTTCCGGCAAAGAACCACCAGAGAACAGTCTGAATGGAGCTGGATGGTAGTGACCTGAACCCTCCGAAGCGCAAACCAGACAGCCACGAACTCCCGAACTGTGCTGTGAGCCCGACGGACAGACAGACCCCACCATCCACAGAATTATATGAACATGTTTGCTGATGATGCTAAGATAATAGGAAGGATAAAAAACTTAGATGATTGTCATGCCCTTCAAGATGACCTGGACAAAATAAGTATATGGAGCACCACTTGGCAAATGGAATTTAATGTTAATAAATGCCATGTTATGGAATGTGGAATAGGAGAACATAGACCCCACACAACCTATATATTATGTGAGAAATCTTTAAAAAATTCTGATAAAGAAAGAGATCTAGGGGTGGTTCTAGATAGAAAACTATCACCTGAGGATCACATAAAGAATATTGTGCGAGGAGCCTATGCCACGCTTTCTAACTTCAGAATTGCTTTTAAATACACGGATGGCGATATACTAAAGAAATTGTTCACGACTTTTGTTAGGCCAAAGCTAGAATATGCAACGGTTGTGTGGTGCCCATATCTTAAGAAGCACATCAACAAACTGGAAAAGGTGCAAAGACATGCTACTAAGTGGCTCCCAGAACTGAAGGGCAAGAGCTACGAGGAGAGGTTAGAGGCATTAAATATGCCAAAACTAGAAGACAGAAGAAAATGAGGTGATATGATCACTACATACAAAAATAGTAACAGGAATTGATAAAATTGATAGGGAAGATTTCCTGAGACCTGGAACTTTAAGAACAAGAGGTCATAGATTTAAACTAGCTAAACACAGATGCCGAAGAAATATAAGAAAATTCACTTTCGCAAACAGAGTGGTAGACGGTTGGAACAAGTTAGGTGAGAAGGTGGTGGAGGCCAAGACCGTCAGTAGTTTCAAAGCGTTATATGACAGAGTGCTGGGAAGATGGGACACCACGAGCGTAGCTCTCATCCTGTAACTACACTTAGGTAATTACACACACACACATTTCCAGAAATCAGCTCGTAGTAACTGTCTAACTTCCAGGTACCTATTTACTACTAGGTGAACAATTGTATCAGGCGAAAGAAACTCTACCCATTTGATTCCGCCTCCACCGGGGATTGAACCAGGACCATTAAGACTACAAACCCTGAGTGCTGTCTACTCAGCCATCAGGCCCCCTAATAACTTTCCTAATAATTAAATCCTTGAGTAACTTTTTCTGCTTGATCTGTCCATGAAGTTTCCCTTTAGCTCTCCTTACCTAACTCCAGATTTTTTTCTAGCCTGTAGGGATTCTTCGAGTTCCACACTATATGTATCTATTTCCGTTTGTTTCTTCAAATTCAGCCACCCCACTTCCCCCTTCAATTTCCATATTGCATTATCTTGCTCAAGTTGATTGACATGCAATTTGTGTCCCTTTACCTTGGCTATCAAACTGTTAATTTTCTCTTGCTATTGAGAAATGCTTCTTTCAAATATAAAACATTTTCCTTCATAAATACAGGGTACATGTACTGTATTTACCAAATCCTCAATTTTCCCTAACCTGCCAATGAGCCCTCTATTTCTTATATCTTCCTCAATAAATCCCTTGAAATTTGTCTCACATGTTGGCAATTCAGAATTGATGGTGGGGGCCATTTTGTTTGTTTTGATTCGTTTGCTTCAGTTTGACAGATCTCCCATAAACCTTCCCAAATGTGTGTTAAGGTGTTAGGCTCAACTTGCCAATCCACACACCATATTGCAATCAAGAAGAAAACTGGTGAAACTTGTCATCTAACTCCTTACTTTGAGCCAAGCAGGTTTCTTTGTGTCTTCAAGCAGTCTGGGCCAAAATTCAACCTCAGTCTTAATTAGACTAAATTCTACACTGCGATCCAGTACTCTGTATCTGCTTTTCTGAAATCAAAATATAAAAATACTAATTACTGGTACTACTAAAGACTACAATATACTTTAATATTTATAAACAAATAACTTAATTTTTTACTATGTTGAGTTCAATATATAGTACTATACATGTAATCAACACCACCACCCTATTGAAACTTTGAGAAGAGTGAGAACGTACTTGCATGGGAAGTATAGCAAATCAAACCATCCTCTTGAGTGTTCCCAATATCACTAAACTGATGTATTAAATTGCCCTAACCTAACCAAACTGAGGACACATGAATTAATAGGACATAATTAACATTATGTCCTATAAAACAGGACATAATGTCAATTTTGTTAGCAACTATGATTTTTAGTACATCAGTTTTTGCCCTTAGGAGACTTGTACACCTAAATGAGATGTACTATTCAAGCTTGAATATGTACAAGTTTTTCATAACTTATTATCATAACAGCAAACTTGTGTTTTAACTAGTTTACAAAATATTCACAGTAGCAGCATATCAGCCACTTTAAAGTTTAAGCTTTAAATGCTGCATGAAACTTTTCATGTGGTTTTTTATCACAAACAAAATGTAATACATTTATTACCTCTTTGCAAAACTTAAGCCCAATTTACTACCATTTCTTGTACAGAATGCTGTTCAGACATATACCATATTTTCCCCCACATAACAACTTGGAACCTTCTTCAACTGTTTGAATAAAATACATAATATATCTCAAGATGCTATCAACTCTTGTTTTAACTATTACTATACGACACTACATATTCTTCCCAGATTATCTATGTACTAATTTAATTTGTAGTTTTCCTTCACATGACAACCATTTCCAACATACTGTATCTTGTTTTTCCTAATTAGAGCTTTCAATGTACCTGACTCAGTCTACTCCTTACCTTCTTCTCTGTCACATTCCAAGATATTTAAACTAAACATATTTTAGCTTTTCTGTGGGGAGCCCCTTCGGCTCCCTGGAGCTATCGGGTTAACCCTTAAATGGCGCATGGCTGTATACCATTTGACACCCACAGGTGCATACAAAAAAAAAAAAAAAACTTTTTTCTTCCTAACCTGTTAATTTGTGTTCACTGATCATGGGAAAAATAATACAAAAATCGTAAGTGGCATATATTGCCCGTTATAGGGCGGGGAAGTCTGGCAAAAAACAGGCGCTGACTCAGCGTGCGTCCCAGGCGATCTGTTGCTCGCCAGCTGTCAGGCCGGAGTTGCCACAAAGAGATAATTACCTAATTATTTCAATGTCTCTGATTGATTTTTCGTAGTTTTTTTTGCTGTAATATTATTCAATAGTGTGAAGTGTAATATATTTATATAATAAAATGAGTGAATCATCGCTGTACTCAAAAATATGGTGTGCATATTGTTGATTCAAGTATGTTCATCAAACAGTGAACAAATACTTTGTCGGTTATTACACTATATACACAGGTTATATATAAGTATCTGCATGTTTTGTTCACCATAACAAACCACTAAGTTGCTATTATGAGTCAAAAAGTAACGAGAAGTGACCGCCATGTACCAGCCAGCCAGCCACTCCTTCCCTCAACACCTCACTCGCCCACATTCTCCTCCCACCATACTGTTTTTTCTTTTATTCACTATATACAGACGATATATATAAGTATCTACATTCGTGTTTGTGGGGTGTTTCTTTTTTGCTTTCACGACTGCAATGCGTACGTCGCCATTGTACATGTGGCAGACGCTTCACGAAACTGTCAGAATTAGCAGAATAGAAAATACGAGAGCAACCGTACAGGGCCTGGGAGCAAGGTCGAGTTAGAGTCCTTGAGGGTCTCTTCTCAGACTAGCCTCACCTGGTCCTGCTCCACGTTGATCGTTGGAATCTCCTCAATGATTTAACACTTTAAGGGACTCCTAGGGTCCTCATCACATTTATAGTTTAGTGAATATAGGCAACTCGGTGTTGAAGACACTTAGAGCTGAAGGCTTGAGTAATATTTGCAGTATTCAGAAGTGGTTCAACGGAAACACCGCATAAAGCTTAACAGTAGTTTATTTACTAACTTAACCACTAATACACAGGGTGCTTGATTTACTTTAGACTGGCGTCAGCAAAGCTATGGTTGTATTAGGAGACTCTTGACGTCTGGCTAAACGACTCGTATCCACTCGTGGAGAAACACCTAACTTAACACAGTTGACAGTCAATCATTAACACGGCAACCTAACTGCCGGTATGCAAAGGAATCACAAGAGTTCCAACCGGATACTCGGTAATGATGATATGCAATAAATCAACAACTACACTGTCAATGGGACAGGCAATAACATGCACAATAATAATCACACAATAACTAAATGTGTGGTGTATGTGAAGCTCACATTCACAGACTAGTGAAATGCAGTGATACCACACAGATAAACACGCATACACCGTCGATTCACCTATGACCTGTGACAGGTATGAGAAGGTGAGAACTGTGGTTGATCCCTCAGATCAACACAGACACAATAAAACAATGACAAAATTTTGTACTTACAGATAGGTACCTTTTCCTTACTCACTCACTCACTCAGGCACATTTATACAAGCACTCGTAGGTGGCCTGACAGCTGGTTTCGCTCGTAGACACGGAGGGTACTTGCAGTAGGGCGGGCTGTATGCTTAACAGACAGACACACGCGCACCCACTGGCACTGGCGATGAGCAAGGTGGAGACGTCACGTAGTAGTGTGAGGCCGGCGGCGGCGGGCGCCTCGAGGTACTGAGGTACAGAGGTACAGAGGTACTGAGGTACAGAGGTACTGGGGTACACGCTCGGGACGAGTGGCTGTGGTACCATGCAGGTACACTTGTGGTAAAGTCACACACAGGTTACTTAGGCAGCGGCTGCCTTAGTTCACTCTTAAGTCACTCACAACGATCTTTGTCACCAGGGGTTACCTGATACCAGTCTGTTTCGCTCTGGAGATTTGTCACTTTAGGCTTCTGAATACTATATTCACAACCCGTAATTCTGGGCGGGTGTGTCGTATAATCTCCAGGCACTGAGTTAACTTGACGGTTAGGAATAGACGGTGTTCAGTCTATTGGCCGGTAGAACAGAACACGTCCTCTAGGTTTGGTGTCCCTCACTTGAATGGGTTACAAGTGCTGCCGAGCATCTTGTGGCACCCAACACAAAGAGTTACATTTTGACCAATGGCATTGCAGCAAATGAGCGGGACCCAATCATCTTAGCTCGTTCAATGAGCAGTAGCAGGAGTGACCTCATGAACACGTCACGAACACGTCATAGCTGTTATTGTCCATCGCACCGGTTGACCCCAGAGGTCAGATGCTGCTAGCGTCTCCCCTCTCCCACGCTACACCACCGATGTACTCACTGACCCTTTGGTGGCAAGTATGCTTAATTCCCTGTATCTACTTCCTGCCTGGACATACGGCGGCCTCCATATTATGAAAGTGTTCCTGGTTAAGTGGGCATTCTGGAGATACCCAACATGCCAGGTCACTATCCAGGGTTAACAGAAATAGGACCTTGTGCACAAGATCGGTGCACTGTGCACAGCAATGAGCCATTCCAGTCAGCTGTGGGAGAATCTTGAGAGACACTCTCACAGTGTTCACCATAACGAACCACTAAGTTGGCATGCTGAGTGGCAGTGCCAGTGGCAGCCTGCCACTGGCTGCTACTTCCTCCCTCCCTCAAGTCACCTGACTCACCCACTCTCTCCTCCCACAATGCTGTTTTTGCTTTTATTCACTATATACAGACGCTATATATAAGTATCTACATTCGTGTTCACCATAACGAACCACTAAGTTGGTATGCTGAGTGGCAGTGGCAGCCAGTGGCAGCCCGCCACTGGCTGCCACTTCCTCCCTCCCTCACCTCACCTGACTTGCCACCATTCTCCACCCACCATACTGTTTTTGCTTTTATATACAGACGTTATATATAAGTATTTACATGTTTTGTTCACCATAACTGTACATTTAAGCTTGTATGGTGACTAAAGGCATAAAGACGTAGCTACTCACACAGTCAGCTGATGGCTACCGACCTCAAGGCCAGATGCACTAATATTTCTCCTCCAACATTACTGTTTGTGGTGTTATTACGCTATATACACACATTATATATAAATATCTACCTGTTTTATTCACCATACTTGTACAAGTAAACTGGTATGGTGCCCAAAGACCATTATGGTCACCAGTAAACAACATGATAAATCGTGCAGACGACGCCACCGCCCTCACCAAAATGGCGGCTCCCAACCTACTCCTTTTGCTGTTTATACCCTCTATACGCATGTTATATATAAGTATCTACATTTGTGTTCACCATAGCGAACCATTAAGCTGGTATGGTGAGTGCAGTCAATAAAAGGTGGCCACACACAGTCAGAAGACAACGCCACTACCCGGGGAGCCGGTCGGCCGAGCGGACAGCACGCTGGATTTGTGATCCTGTGGTCCTGGGTTCGATCCCAGGTGCCGGCGAGAAACAATGGGCAGAGTTTCTTTCACCCTATGCCCCTGTTACCTAACAGTAAAATAGGTACCTGGGTGTTAGTCAGCTGTCACGGGCTGCTTCCTGGGGGTGGAGGCCTGGTCGAGGACCGGGCCGCGGGGACACTAAAAAGCCCCGAAATCATCTCAAGATAACCTCAAGATATAACCCTCCCCTCCCACAGCATTACTCCTCCCTCCATGGAGCACAGCGCTAAATATCACCACAATCCTATTATCAGATCCCTGGTCAGTTTTATCACAGTCAGGGGTCTTCTGTAATAATATCATCGCTACATAATAGCATGAACAAGTATATTATGGCATTTTTAGGTGATGCTGTGGTCACAAGCTGAACAGCAGTGCTGTGAGCTCATGCTGCATGCGTCAGGCTTGGTAGCTCACTCAATACTGAGGCCCCTAACACCCGGGAATTTCGCCCACGATTTTTTTTTAAAATGGCGTCTGTTTACAAGAGCCCTGATGAAGGT